TGCTTTAACAGATTTTGTTCCTCAATTAGTTAAAAATATGGAGCCTGAAACAGAGGGCCCACCACCGACAGCAAAAGTGACACCTCTTCAACAAATGCTTGCCTCTTGTACTGGAGCTATATTGACATCACTAATGGGTAAAATTATGTTACTGGGCAGACTATATGATGTTGAACATTCCATTACAGTTTTATTATCTGAAGTAATGATATTATTTGGGGGGGGTTGTGTGAATGTATGTGGTATATGCATGTGTACATATTTGTGCATGTGGCAGACAAAGGTCATTGTCAGGTATCTTCTATTGCTCTTCACCTTATTTGTGTGTGTCAGTGTGTGTATATATGTGTTTGCATGTGCTCATGCATCTGTGGAGAGGCGAGAGGTTGACATTGAGTTTCTTCCTCAGTCCCTCTTCACCTTATTTTTTGAGACAGGGTCTCTCACAGAACCTGGAGCTCATTAGCCAGCAGACCCCAAGGATCCTCCTGTCTCTGCCCCCTCAACCCTTGGTTTATGACCATTAGGACTAACTTTTTATATGGGTTCTGGGGATTCAAAGTCAAGTCTTTGCTTGCCTGACAGTCACTTTGCTGCCTAAGCCATCTTTCAAGCCCCCAAACTAATAATATTATTCATCATGGTAGTATCCAGGATTCCAGTATTTTTTCATCAGCATGATAGAAAAGAATAGAAAATGAAGACTTGAATGTTAGCCCTTGCTTTGTTCATCCATAGGGTCACTATACTTGTGGACAGTACCTATTTTTCTGAAGTTTATTTTTCATTGAAAATTAGGGAGTTTTGAAAGAAGAATTCCTGGAAGTCCTTGTCAACATTAAACTTTTATAATTCTTTTAGATCTTTTAAAATAAAAAGGAACAAAATATTTACATTTGCAATTATATAATTTGAGCTATTATTATAATTTCTGTAATCACAGAACATGTTAAACTTTTATGGATCACATTTTTCTTTCTCTTAACAGTGTATTTCTTATAGACATAGCCAGGTGGCTTAGGTAATAGTTTAGCATTAAAATTTTTTCTATTTATTTTCATTATATATGTGTGTGTGTATATGTGTATGTATACATATGAATGTTTTGTCTTCATGTATGTAAGTACACTGTATAAGTGCAGTGCCCATAGAGGACAGAAGAGGGCATCAGATCCCCTGGAACTGGAGTTATGGATGGTTGTGAACCACCATATGGGTTCTGGGAATTGAGCCTGGGTCCTCTGCAAGAACAGCCAGTGCTTTTAAGCACTGAGCCATCTCTCCAGCTCCAATAGTTTATCATTTTAGTGATTTTTAAATTTGCTAGTTTATTTAGGATAAATGGTTGGATCATATAAGCCAGTTGCTTTATGATATATCTTTAGCTTAGAATTCCAGGTTCATAATGGCCTTAGAAATTACTGAATGTGACTTATACCTTCTCAGATGAGAAAATAATTTTCTTGAAAACACAATTTGTTTTGTTTTTGTTTCTTATTTGTATAAAACAGCATGCAAATAAAAATAATTACAATTTGCTAATGTTATTCTCAAATTGAATGGCATAACCTCATGCTAGCTTATCCAAAATTTCATTTCCTACAAGTTTTTTCTGATATAAATAAATTTAACAGATTGGG